ACATAAACTTCAAAGAGGTAAACCACCGGTGCTTGCGGTGCATTCGAATCTTCCCAAAGTGTCATTTTCTTGAGGTACGGAGACCCAAGTTTTTTCATGCACCCCCGCACATGAGAAATCACCAACGGGCACAAAAACCTTTCGATAAAGTCCAGGCGGGTGTCCAGCCGGGTTCAAGTAACCGTTAAGAAAATCAGACACATCTAACGAGATGCCTCGCGGTATGGCGAGATCTAGAAGAAAAAACTAGAAGAAAAAAGAAAAATGTCAAAACAAACTAACAAACAACTACATAAATACCAAAGAAAAATGGAAAAAGAAAAACAATATAATATAATTACAACTTACATGGAGTTTCAAGTTGTTCGAACATGCGGACGGCCAGTCTGAAAAAATCAAGGACCTCAAGGCCAGTCTGTGGATGAGCAATATGTTTGTCGTACTGATTCTTCCAAAAGGACCACGGGTTCCTCCTGCGTGGCGGCATCAGATCTGGCCAATAGAGTTTCAGCTTCGCCACGAATGCGGGACCCCCTTTTTGCACCTCCTTCCTAAAGTCCGCCACTTGACGCCANTATATCTTTTTTCGGAACTGTGTATTTATCTATTCTCTTAATGTTGTTACTTAATCTCTCTTTGCTCTTAATGTTGTTGAGGTACCTCTCATATCCCCTGGATACCCATTGGCTGCACTTGATATGGTTCTACAAAATAAGGCAGTATTTGGAATGAAGATGAACGACCTGCATACCAATGATCCGACTTATCCAGATTACGTCCTGCTTAGTTACCCTCATGAATTCTCAATTCACGGCGTACGGGATCCCACAAAATCCGGTAACCAGCTCAACTATGGGATNTGCAAAAAGGGGGTCCCGCATTCGTGGCGAAGCTGAAACTCTATTGGCCAGATCTGAGGCCGCCACGCAGGAGGAACCCGTGGTCCTTTTGGAAGAATCAGTACGACAAACATATTGCTCATCCACAGACTGGCCTTGAGGTCCTTGATTTTTTCAGGCTGGCCGTCCGCATGTTCGAACAACTTGAAACTCCATGTAAGTTGTAATTATATTATATTGTTTTTCTTTTTCCATTTTTCTTTGGTATTTATGTAGTTGTTTGTTAGTTTGTTTTGACATTTTTCTTTTTTCTTCTAGATCTCGCCATACCGCGAGGCATCTCGTTAGATGTGTCTGATTTTCTTAACGGTTACTTGAACCCGGCTGGACACCCGCCTGGACTTTATCGAAAGGTTTTTGTGCCCGTTGGTGATTTCTCATGTGCAGGGGTGCATGAAAAAATTGGGTCTCCTTACCTCAAGAAAATGACACTTTGGGAAGATTCGAATGCACCGCAAGCACCGGTGGTTTACCTCTTTGAAGTTTATGTGAGTATAGATA